CAATACAAGGCCCTAAAATCTTTATTCGTACGGACAGAATAAAGGGTGATCCAGAAGTCCTGAAGCCACTTTTCTATTAAAGTTTTATTTATATTGTCTTATGTTTAAGAATTTAATATTTAGCCCGAAAGCTAGAGAATTTAATTGTGTAGGAAACTGTCGATTTTATTTTGAAATTATTTTCAAAATTTCAGCAGAATATTTACGATATTAAAATATTTTAGTTTTTTTAAAACGGTACAGAATAAACTGAACTTCTATAGTGAAGCGTTGCTGATCTCTCAGTTCAACTTATAGATAATTATTTTAACCTCAAAAGATGCAGAATTTTGTGTTGTACAATATGTTGTGACACTGCTTGTGTTAAATGATTATTCTTTTTTGCGATAAGGAAAACCCTAAATCGACTGACTTACGTTGAAAATCCATATTATCGGCATTTTTTGCCCTCAAACTCAAAATTTAAAGTCATGCATTTTATATAAGAAGATGCAGAATTTCTCACTTTACAAGATCACATAGTACACTAAGAAATAAAATTCTAAATTTAATTTTAAAAATGTAAAAAAATATTAGATCCTAAACTTCTTTGAAACTTTCATGAGAAACTCTTTCGAGAGCCACCTTGACTTAGAAGGATTTTGCTTCGCCACATAAAGCATTGTACTTTGTACAGAATTTCGTGCTGAAGTTAATGATGTATTGTGTTTTGATTAATAAATCTTTTTTAGTCAGATATGCTAACGAGACTTCAATTAAATAGGTGATCAATTTTCATAACTTAACATTTTAATATTTTTATTTCCACAGTAAAGATTCAAAATTAATTTCAAAATAAAATCGACAGTTTCTTAGAGAATTAAAATTAATTAAGACATCCGTGATGTCAAGTCACAGTCGCGCTTTCTGCACGAAGTGTGCCATAGACATAACTTTTGATGGATGAGTCAGTAACCAAAATATTTCTCTGCTTTTTGTAACCTCGATGATGTCTGAGGAAAATAATTACTCAAAAGGTTTTACGTGTGCACCTGACGTCATATGTCTCCGTGAGTAGTATGCGTTATGTTCCTTTCTATTCTTCTGACTTCATATCCCGTTGTATTGGCGCGATTATGGCAAAACTGTGGCTCTCTCTCTTTTTATTCAGTAGTTATTATCGAAATATCCATCCTTCTTATATATTTTATTATGAATAATAGAAACAAAATCTAACACACTGTATAATGAACCACTCGTCAGACTTTACGCCGAGGGCATAACAGACGGGTAGTAATTCCAAACTTTAAGCTTAAAACTACTCGTAGTTCTTTTATACCAAAAATATCTAAAGAATGGAACAATCTCCCTTCACCCTTGGCACTTCAGAATAGTCACAAAGTTTTTAAGGAGATGCTTCGACGGGAATTGGGTTTGACTTAAACAACTCTATTTGTATTTATTTTATCTTCTCTTTGTTCATTGGGGAATGCTCTCTTATTTTGTTTGTTTTTAGTTATACAGGTATCACTAAGGCTTCTGTTTATCAGACGTTATAAGTTGCTAAACGTTTGGCTTTCTTTTGTGATGTCCTTGCTTATGCAAAATAAATTTGAACTTGAACTTGAACTTGAAGGACAGAACTGTTCGAATTGCAGCAGAAAACTGTTTTTAGTATGTAAGAGTTATGTTTCTCTGTTTACTACAAATCCCGCATAATGCACACACATTTATTCATTCTTTTTTTAAACTATTGTTTCATCTTCATTGAACGACGCGGCTGGAAGTATATTACTTCGCTCAGTATCAAGTTGTATTGCAGCTGTTGTTATTGATCTCTCAATTCTAGTGTTTTGAGCGTTATAATCGTCATTGTACATCATTTTACTTAAAACATTTTCTTGTTTTTCTTCTATAATTATTTCATTAATAAGTTTTTTCCAGTATGTTTCAGCTATAATTTTTTCACGTAATATATTACCATGTTCTTGAAATTTATTTATTACTATTCCTGAATGAAAAGCGAAAAAATAACGATTTTAGAACACAATCTTCATCCTTAATTGAAAATACATACGACTAGTTTGTTTCATTATATGATAGCCAATGTCAGGTATTTTTAGCTTATTTCCATCTTTTATGTTTTTGTACGGGGTTATTGAATGTTCAGTTCCAATTTGGTTACCATTTCCTGTAGAATAAAAAATATATAAACAACAAGGTCAAGTTCTCATTGAAGAAGAAGGAAGAATACCCCGTTTTTCGGCTACCGTTACCGATATAGGGTGCTGCTGTGGGAGTTTCAATAGCCCGATATCGTCTCTGCAGTTGATAAGCTTCTGAAATGGTCACCCATCCCGTTACTAGTCATCAATTACAGTTCCGGCCAGAAGGCTAGTCTAACACAGAGTTCTTTCACCCAATTACTTGAGCTCCTCATACACACTTCATTGACCACGTACTAGCTTTCCGGAAAGCCACGAGGGCTATCCAGAGAAGCTGTATTGTAAGTCACAACGTAGTGAGTATGACAGAGTAAGTAAACTTTAACATGATTATCACAGGTCAGAAAAAGGTTTGCTACCTATTGTTTGACTAATACTAAAACTAAATGCTGCGCCTTTATTTGGATAATTTGTAAAAACAATTGGTTTGTTTGATTGTTTACCAGATTGAGAAATATTTAAAAAATGATTTAAATTAACTGAATATTCATCACGATCAATACTATATGGACTACCGGAACCACGTTGAAATCCAATGGCAAGAAATTGACCTGATAGTAGTCGCATATTTGCATCTATTCTAAATTTTTGTATTCCACTCATCTTCTTTATTGTTGTTGGTGGAATCTCATAATAATTCTGTCCATTACTGTCAGGCCATTTAACAATAGAAAATGCACACGGATCAGGTGTTGGCGACATAATATACAATTTTATTTGTGGTTTTTCAATTATTGGTGGTGTACAAAAATGAATTGATAACTCAGTTAGAAAACCATCTAATTTTATTTGATCTTTAAAATTAAATACAACACGATTACTGAGATGAGAATCTAATTCAATTGTTTTTTTAATTGAACCATATGTGTTATCTATGAAGGTAAAACAATGACAAAATGAAGTGAAAGTTTGCAGAAGAATCTTTACGCACCAGTTTCTTTATTTTTTATACATCTATCAATTAGTCTATAAAGTTGAAATATATAATCAATGACACTTAATGGTGGTACAAATACTGATTTCTTTGTGTATTCATTAACCAACAAGAAATGATGAAATGCCCAAGCATCCTCAGCACGATCACCAACTTTACGAAGTGTATCGCTAGACGAAGAAGATGACGTTTTAGAGTTTGAATTTAATTAGAGAATAGGAATAAATACTTGAACAATGCGACCAGGACATTCAATAAAATTACATTTGCTATACCAACAAATGCAATTGTTAATAAGAATGTCGTTACACCATATGCATCATTTATAGCTAAATTAATATAACAGATTAACCGCAATGCAAGTCAAAGAGATAGGCATGTTACATGAGAATGCTAACTCAATAACATAATTTAACATATTTTAAATTTAAATAACTCAATACAGATAAATGCTATAAAATTTGTAAAACACCGTTCGATAGAGAACGGAAAACTGTACAAACGCAGAGATTTTATGACGTTTCCATATAACGCGATCTTGGTTTTCTAGGGTTTCACAGAAAACCTTACCGGTCTTCCAATTAAACTTAATTTTTTTTAAATTAACTTTTAACTAAAACTCAATTAACCTTTTAATGATAGTCTAACTAGTATGCATAAAACCGAATGTTTTTAACCGATTTTTTACCGCTCATTAAGGCTTTTTGGTACGATATGAGAGCTTTCTAACTGTTATATCTTTCTACTACGTTGTCATGATAACTCTTGTGTATACATATATAACATCTACGTATTCTCATATATACATCACAGACGAGAAAGAGAGTACACTCATTTGTGTGTCACAGCATAGTATAAGGATAAATAACTTTAAAACCTCTCAAGCTACACTAAAACTCCTTTTTAAAGGGTCAAAAAGTTAATTGAGTTTTAGATAAAAGTTAGTTTAAAAAAAATTAAAATTAAAGCGAAAGACCGGTAAGGTTTTCTGTAAAACCCTACAAAACCAAGGTCACGTTATATGGGAGCGTCGTAAAATCTCTACATGTGTACAGTTTCAGTTCTCTATCGATCAGTGTCTTACAAATTTTATAGCACTTACCTGTATTGAGTTTAGTCAGCCGGTTTCAAGCACGTTTCCTCAACACTCATGTGCCGAAAATCACGGTTTTCCAGAAACCCTACTTCCATTTAATACGAAGTTAAATGAGTCAAAAGAAAGAGAACAGTCTATACCCTCTATATTCCCTTAAAACTGTACCTCCAGTAAGTGTTGTATTATCTGCTTCTTGTATTCCAAAAAGATTAACTTGTCCATACACTTTCCACATACCCCAATCAAAAACATTACGTAAAATTTCCCAATACCATAAACCAGTGCCATCATTTGTCAATGTATAGTTTCGAGCTGGTGCTCCATTTGCATTTGCAATCCATGTTACTTGTTCACGTGTTGTTATCAATGCATAAGATGATATTGAATAACCAAAAAGAAATATCAGAATAAAATAAATAAAAAAAACTAAATCTTTCATCTAAAACAGAAAACATAGATAATGTTTTTGGCCATGTTTTTTGTGCCTGTTTCTTACAGAGTAATATATCATTAATAGTTTTGGTCCTAATCGTCCTAATCGTCTAATCGCAAACAGACGCAACATTCTAACGTGCCATAAAAACAGATCAAGAGCCATACAGATCCTAAACAAGGAACTCACCATGTTCGATCACTAGTTTATGATACAGCAGGTTAAACATACTTGGAGACAATAAATGCTTGTTCAATAACAATAAATCTGGCAATAAATCCAATTAAATATAACAGAATTGCAGTACAATCTAAAATATTCCATCCATCGTCAGT